TCACTCACTCACTCACAGACAACAACATGGTAGCAGTAATTCTTCATGCATAGTAACTACAGTAAGTGCCTGTTGTGGTTTGTTTACACCTGTTGGCAATAATACAAGAACACTTTTATTCATCTTCAAATGCAGTTGAAAGGTCAAGATTGACGCAACACAAACCGGTTTTGTACACTCCATGGACAGACAAGCATGTTTACCTTCCCTACAACCGATGTGTGCAACGGAACGTTGAATGCACAATCAGATGGATCATTCATACAGAAAACTGATCTGTTTTGACAACAAAACTACAGCAACTAATAGAAACCTGTTTCGACAAAAATACTGCTGTGTTGAGTTCACAGAGTTTTGTCCAGAAATATTTATATAACTTCTGTGGCTGAGGTTACAGGAAACTATGTTGTACATAAGGGCATGGTGATTTGATGCTCTAAACATACAAGTTTATGTTACATGTATTTCATACAATTTCTTATATCTAGCCTATTAAAAAGAACTATATGTCTATATTTTACAGCTATATGTTCATACTGAAATGCACATGTGATGAATATGGAAATTGCTGAAGGTCTGAAACTGCTAAACACAAACGGGAATTAAAGAGACACTTTGTGAAGATATATCATGGAATAATTATTCATACAAAATTCATTATTAATTAGTACCACTACAAGCAATATATAAGGATTCAGATATTAGGAAAATATATAGAATATTAGTTTCATCATGTATCAGTAATAGCTTAGAGAAAGACCCCAGTCAAAAGTAGTAAAACTCATCTCACAGACATACTATTGAAAAAGGTGTAAATTACGGTTCACAATTTCACAGATGTTCAAGATAAAATCCTAGCCTAAGGTATCAAGGACTCAAGCTGTTAGTAACACAAAGTTATGTCTAGACGTTTTAATAAACTGCTTTGATACAGAAAACATGTCATCGCCCATATTACAATAACATTTCACCGGAACCATCACTTGGACCCAAGACCCGTATCATAATAGATAACTGAAACTATGTCCTATGTAATGTGTAGTTTCACTTCATTGAGGTGATGATTCAAATGAGTTGCAGTGATAAAATACTTGATGCATGTCTTCCACAGCCATACATCGAAATTCATAACCATTTTAAATGGGAATTCATGTTTGCAGAGATAACTGAAAATATGTCCTATGTAATGTGTAGTTTGCTGGTGACTGAAACAGGACACTTCATAGACGTGATGAAAGTTTGATTCAAGAGAAATGCAGTGATAAAATACTTCATGCATGTCTTCCACAGCCATACATCGAAATTCATAACCATTTTAAATGGAAATTCATGTTTGCATTGATAACTGAAAATATGTCCTATGTAATGCCTAGTTTTCTGGTGACTGAAACAGGACACTTCATAGACGTGATGAAAGTTTGATTCAAGAGAATTGCAGTGATAAAATACTTGATGCATGTCTTCCGAAACCATACATCGAAATTCATAACCATTTTAAAATAGGAATTCATGCTATTCAAGGCACAAGTGAATAAGAGCACATACAGTGATTGACAAATGGCTCCCATGAAGGCTCCCTGACAAATGGGTGACTGAAAGGGGAAGGCCCCCTCTGGTGGTGAGGTGAAATGGGCTTTAACTGCACATTCAAGATTATTGCATTTGCAGAGCGACATTCATGCAGCTACGTATGTGGCTCCTTGTCAAGACTACGGCCAGTCTCCTAGTGCTAAACCCATTAAGAAACTATGCCATAGTTTAATATAGATAACCAACTCAGACACCAAGTACCATTCTCAGACATTTTTTGTCCCACATCTGCATCCGCCAGTGAACGTTGATGTATAGTACAAGTAACATTTATGACTATACTGGGGCGGTAATGATGCATCGAACTATCGATGGATTGCAATTGTTGAGTCTCCGATAGCAATTAATTGATGGTAGTAACGACTATCAATGCATCGATAGTATGTCTTACTATCGATAGGTTAGTAATTGACTTCCGTTGTGCAGCGCAAATACAGGAAGTACCAGATTTGTTCACTTTGATTTAGAGTTATCCGCCCCTGTTAGCTCTTAAACAAACTTAATCTGGGTTTCAAGTTTCTTATCAGTTATTAGAAAAGACTGAAACTAATTCAGCTTGTTTCTTTTTCATATAAACTATACATTCATTTGGGAAATGACTTCAAATGTAACAATTCAAGGAGAAAAAAACTATTGCAATAGTATTGCAATAGTTGGTTGCAATAGACTATTGCTATCGCAATAGTTGTTTCTCTCTCAATAATCACCCCTTAGACTATACCCAGCTTTTGATTTTTTAAAAATATTTATCTGAGAGACACTGGACAGTCATTTATGTATATGAACTTAGACACGTAAGCTTGAGACATTATTGCCATATTACTGCCATGCCAGATCATGTCCAAAGCAAATGTCTATACATATAACCATGCTGTTTTGACGACATGGATTTTTAATTCCTTAACTTCTTCTTATCATTGTAAATGCTTAAATAATGACAATCCAACATCAAATATTAACCCAGTTGGTGTTTCACAAAGGGAGGCCTACGAAAATATCCTGGCATTTTGTAAAATAATACATTGGAAACCTTGAATTCCACATCATTAAGAGTTATCAATATATGAATGGAATGGCTTCATACATAGTGGTGAAAGCAATTCCCATTGAACAACAATAGGAGAATTGCCCTCATCAACAGAATCCATGGGTATTACGCCGTGAAAACATCAATGCATATTTTTCATTACTGTAAACTTAAGGAACAAATTTCACTGAATATCATTTCTGTGTTAAAATGCCCAAAATTGTTTTTTTTTAGTGTTTTTTGCTGTAAAACATTGAAATCATTGTGAATAGATATATTTGTGTGACCACCATCAGCAGTGATGACACGACTCAATTCCATCAACATCTTTAACTAATGGCTGGAGGTTTAAACATCAAAGGGTCATGCATTTCAATAACAGAATCCCTCAAAGGGTCAAGGCTTAATTGTCAGTGACATGTGTTGACTCTTCCAAACTGAGGCATCAGTGAACATAGTCATGAGCTGATGTTTAATTCCACTATCAGCATCATTATCCCTGCTACTCAACCACTGACATGACAACCAGATTAAGTATCCATTAATCAAATCAAAGTGACCCTTACCAAGCTTAATTAACTACACTGATATCAAGCTGGTCTTGTTAAGATAATGCATAGATGATCATCTGGAAACATCTTTCCAGCAACACTGAGGGGCAACAAGTCGGAATCATCTATCACGAGCAGCACAGAAATATAACGTAGAGAAACAAATAAAGGAACACAGGAAAATTCAAGCATTCCTTTATTATTTTCCAGTTTCCAGCGCTATTAACATTCTCTTCCCACAGAGGTTACTTGTCATATCTTCCTACGAACCTCTGTTCTAATACGGCCCTTTCATGGTGTGAGCGTTCAAGACTCGTGATTGGAGGCAATCAGATTTAGTTGTGCAATCAGCGACGTTGTTTCAAAAGTGATCATTCGCAAGGCCTCAGTAATTTCCGTATACTTCGAGAAAACTAAACCTCTTCCCCTGCACGATGCGCAAATTTTTCTTCTAGAAAGAACTCAGTCATGTTATGGCGTATCAGTGGCGTCTCCATCGCCCTCGTTGACAACGGACAAGGTAGCCATTAAACGTCTTGTGTGTAACATCAACACAAGTCCCCGGCAGATGGGGGATATTTGTGGCCTCACATTTGCTTGTGTTAGTCAAGTTGAATCTAAGTTGATGCCCTGTTCTGATTGGATAGAAAGAAGGGAGATAATTCGTGTTGCGATCTTTTGCCGATAGGGGATTTAACGAGAACCGGAAATATGGCCAGTATTAGAACAGAGGTTACGTAGGAAGATATGACGGAGTATCCCCAGGGGAAGAGAATGCGCCATATTAAAAGATGGTGACGAAAAAAGAAAATATTAAAGGAACATTTGAATTTTCCTGTGTTCCTTTATTTGTTTCTCTACGATATTTCTGTGCTGCTCGTGATAGATGATTCCGACTTGTTGCCCCTCAGATTCTGACTTGTTGCCATTCAGATTCTGACTTGTTGCCACTCAGATTCTGACTTGTTGCTGCTCAGATTCTGACTTGTTGCCACTCAGATTCTGACTTGTTGCCACTCAGATTCTGTGTGACACAGTTGCTGGTGAAATGATTGTGAGACAACATATGCAACACTGCCTTTGACGTAACACGTATGTTGCCAATATAACTGCGTCCACATAGTGACGTGCATACACATGTCCTTCAGGATGTTTGTACTAGTCCAAATAATGCCTGTTCTAGCTAGTCCAGATGCTGTCGTTTACCATTGATACTGACTCAGAGCAGATCCTTATTTTGTCCCCATGATTCCATGTGCCAGGCAAGGCAACAACAAGTACCATCTTGTAAAAGTCTTTTGCTGCACTAAAGACATCTTCATAGAATTCTATTACAGCAATAAAAAGTGTCTGTCTTGATTGAATACTACTCCATCCATAAGAAGTGTCCATCTTGATAGAATACTACTACACCCATAAGAAGTGTCCATCTTGACAGAATACTACTACAGCCATAAGAAGTGTCCATCTTGACAGAATACTACTACAGCCATAAGAAGTGTCCATCTTGATAGATGTTTTTTTTAATTTTAATTTTTTGACTGATTGATCTTGACAGAATACTACAGCCATAAAAAGTGTCAGTATTGACAGAATACTACTACAGCCATAAGAAGTGTCCATCTTGACAGAATACTACTACAGCCATAAAAAGTGTCCATCTTGACAGATGTTTTTTTAATTTCTATTTTTTGACTGATTGATCTTGACAGAATACTACTACAGCCATAAGAAGTGTCCATCTTGACAGAATACTACTCCATCCATAAGAAGTGTCAGTCTTCATAGAATATCTAAACATAACCCAATGAATGAAAATAAAATGAACTCACATCAAACTCATCAATTTGCCCACTCTGGAAGTGCTGGTCATCTGCATAGCCTAGAGGAATGGGCCCGGAGTTAGCCTTCTTGCCATACACGGTCAAGGTCACCTGGGCATCTGTGCCTGCACTGCCAAGCTCATTGGTCATTAACCACACTTTCCATCGTCCCTCTGAAAGAAAGGAAGACATCAGATATACTTCTGCATTACCCTATGTTCAAATTAAGCCTGTTCCTCTTTCAGAAAAGAAATTTAGTCTTTTGTTGTTTAATAACCAAACCTTGATCAATATTGAAATATATCAACCAGTGATTGACATAGCGTCCAGTGTCTCATACCTCAATCTGAGTCACCAAGTAGGCTAGGATTGCCCAATCCATTCTGTCACTGAATACAACTGTGGCTGGAGAACAATTCTATGATGGAATCCCAACAAGTTCTTTCAGTTTTGTTTGTTCGTTTTTTGTTTAACACATCAAGCATCAATATTCCACAGGGCTCCAGATAAGGGCCGTATAGGCGTATGTATGGATATAAAACAAACACGATACGGTAGGAAATAATTTACAAAACGTAGCAGATACGCACCACAGACATGGAGTACGGTCTTAGAATCATTTACAGACGTATTTATCTAAAAAAGTATTGCTTTATTGTTTATTGACCTGTTTACACAAGAGTAGCAATGTTGAAACGAAACACAAGATTACTGATACTCCATTAAATTCCATTCAGTACTCTTATTGTTTTCCAGTACTCCTATATTGAAAAAATTAGCAGTACGTACTCCTGATGTTGAAACGTTATCTGCAGCCCTGATTCCAGCTATATGACAGTGGTCTGTAAATAATGAACTCCGGATCAGTCCATTCAGTCCCCTACAGGTGCTTGTCACGCACAAAAATCAGGGTATATATTGCCACTATCGGAACAATAACGCTATCTGTTATTGTTATAATCCTGGTTGTGACAATACCGTCATGCCATTTTTGCATGACAAGTGCCAGTACACATGAGCACTATGTGTGAGGCCCATTTTGGGTGTCCAACAGCAGGATTGCTGAAGTGAGTTTAGTTTAACGGTGCATTCAGCAATATTCCAGCTATATGGCGGAGGGTATTGCTGAAGTAGTGATAAAGTGGCATAAAACTATACACAGTCATAGTCACACACAACTTACTTGTACGTATCAATCGATCCCGTCTTTCTCGCACCCGGCTTCCGATGTGGTCTCGGGTGGGATTCCTGCTCCTTAGCCGATGACTGGGGCCCCTTTCAGATGGGGGATGTGGGGCGTTGTACATCAAGGTCAGCATAGACTTGAAGGGCTCTTTACCTGCAGCCACAAAAACGTCTGGGCCTTTTAGGATCTGGCTCAAACCGGTTATCTGAAAAAAAAATAAGCAGGATTTCATTGGACTTCAAACACATTTTATGATCAAGGATAAAATGATTATTTAATACATAATATCCAGGATATTGTTGTACACAAACACATATGGGCCTGTAAAGATCTGGTACAAACCAGTTATCTGAAGGCAATTTCCGGGATATCATTGCATTCATACCAGAGGGTTCTAGTAGTGCTTCCTTGGAAACAAAATCTTGAACTATAAACAAGACTTAAGTAATATATGAGGGTGACAGTAACATTATGAGTACTTCAGATAAACCTGACTCCGTAACTAACACATTGCCAAGATACTGGGAGAGACAACACTTACCCTACGTCCATCAATTGTAAACAGTTTCCGTACAGCAAACTTGAACATGTCACTGAGATCTGAAAGAACCTGATCAAACGTCTGTGATGTCCTTCTGTTGAGTAGCATGATGTGTCTGAAGCTTGGATCCCGGTTTTTCATGACAGTCACTTTCTTCGGACCTCTGTTTGCGTTAGCTCCATATGCCATTCTCATTCTACGCTGTCTGACTGGTCTGCCCTCCTCCACATCAACCTCCTGCAGTATGTTATTGTACTCTCGAATCCCACTCTTTGGCTTCGGGCTGAGATGCCACAACTCGGGAGAGTGAACTTGTTCAAGGTCAAGTCCCTTCGCAAAACGCCGTTTGGTTGAACAAACATAATGTCCACCATCCCTAAGATCCCCGATACTTTTGAGGCTGTGGCGACCTCTAGGTGTAAACACTCCCCTGACTCCATAGTTCAAACCTGGAACTCTCCGGCACAACTCGGTGAGGAGCACATCAAACTTGCGGTATGATTTTTCATTAACGGCCACTTTGACTGCACCAAATTTATAATCCTGGTCTTTGTAAAAGTAGCACGTCTTTGCTCTAACTGGGTCCAAAGAGCCTTTTGGACCAAAGGAGTCATTGCTGTCATCATGGATAAAGTGGTGATCCCCCATTCTGTATTGCTGTTGTTACTGCTGCTGTTGTTGTTGTTGTTGATGTTGCTGCTGCTGCTGTTGTTATTAGCTCACCCAATACCCTGACATGTCATTCTGAAACAGAAAATTTGGCTGAAGTTTTACAAAAAACTATAAAAGACTTCATCATGTAAAGGCTGGTATTATTGATTTGATATGTCCATTGCATATACGTGGATGAGAATCCTATATATATGCACATTAGGTCAACTTTCAGAACTATTTTGAAGTTCAACATTCACCAATGCAATACTGTTTTTTCAGTGTACGTCTAGACAATGTTCTGTATATTAAATATTGAAATGTAATTTTTTTTTCACCTTCCGCAAATCATTCAGTGTCCAAAGGGCTCATCATCAATAACTATTTTAGTAAGCATGAACCTCCCTAATCCCGATTTCAATTACTCTTCTCAGTTCACCCACATCTTGACAAGGTCAGGACTCAAAACAATGTAAAATTCATCGTTGGTTGGTAATCCAAACTTTTTATCAACTAACAGTCACGATTGTCATGAGCCAAAGCAATTAGGAACTGTAGTCATGACACATTTATAATGCCAGTCCATGTGAAAACCGACTGAGGCTGCAGCATGGCCCTTCAGATCATTACAATCAAATGTTAATCATATGGACCAGCTGAGCTTACTTGATCGAAATGTAATTTTAGCAGACACAAACTTTGTAACTGCATGAGTGCTGTTTATGCTGCTTTCACTTTTAGCAATATTGCAGCAATATCACCGTGGGGGACACCAGAAATGGGCTTCACACATTGTACCCATGTGGGGAATTGAACCCAGTCATCGACACGACAAGCAAACACTTTATAATTAACCACTAGGCTAAAACCATACTCACTCACTCACTGTAGAAGCTATTACACATCTTTACAGTTACCTTTCAATTATCAGCCAACTGATGACTGATGACTAACACTTGCTATTCCAAGCTTATATCATGAGACCATTATACACAATATTCCCTTCATACTAAAAATGTCGAGCATAACTGAAGAACAGCTGAAATTGTAATTCAAGTGTTATAAAAAAAAAGTACATATTAACTGACCAGATTCTTGTTTCCTGTATGTTCAAGGGAAGCTATACAATACGCCCATAAATGGATCAGCAATTTTCATTATATGAAGGATTGTACTAACTTTACAGTAATAGGTTTCTGTCATCACTGACACAGTAGATATATTTTTAATGTTTTAAGTATGACTGTCATCCACCCGTGAGAGAGGAATCCTGCATAGTAAATACAACTTGTCAACATTCTGGAACTTATAGTATGGCCAGAAATTATTGAGAATTTTAGGAATATGTTTAATTGGATTTCTAGTATAAACAACCTTGACCAGCTATCAAGTGCTTCGTTTCATTCAAGAGAGACAACTCCGTTAATCCTTTTTCATTAGTTTGTGAAGAGTTATCCCCCTTTGTTTACTTGCTAGCAGACGGCATTTTCAATGATCCTCAGTATGGATGATTTTGAGAAGAGGAAGTTGATTTTAGAGTATTATTACAAGGACATCAGATCAGCTAAAGTGATTTCAAGTAGAACAGGCATCCCTTTGTCCACTGTTTATCGTGTTTTGAAAAATATTGCAAATGGATATGGCATTGAGCACCAGGGAGGCGTAGGTAGGCCCAGAAAATTGACTGTCGGTGACAGGAGGCGGCTTGGTATTCTTGTTTCTAAAAACATATGAAGGAGTTTAGAAAACTTAAGGCTGGATATGATTGATAGACGAACTGTGGCTGTTTGAAAGGAGACAATTAGAACTGAGCTGCATGCAATGGGTTGGCAGAAAAGCGAGGAATTCCATCACCGATCATGAAGCCTGAACAAAAGGAGCGAAGGTTGAACTGGTGCTTACAGCATAGAAATTTTAACTGGGACAATGTGATTTTCTCAGATGAAAGTTCTGTGTGGCAGTTTCCTAATACACTGAAATTCTGGACCAAACAAACTGAAAAACCTTTGTATCAGCGCCCAAAGTACAGTCTGAAATTTAACGTGTGGGGTGGCATATCTGTGTTAGGGGCAACGCCCCTCTGCGTATTGAAGGGAATATGAACAGTGAGCGGTACACAGATATTCTCGAGGGACATTTACTTCCATCTGCTCACGTGTTCTATGGACATTTTTGGATTTTCCAGCAAGACAACGACCCAAAAGATCGTTCAAAGCATTCACAGGCCTGGTTTCGGACCCAAAATATGCCATTATTAGATTGGCCAAGCTATAGCCCTGACCTAAATCCAATAGAAAATGTTTGGGGACTTATGAAGGAAAGTGTCAATAAGAAAATCTGACAAAATTGCTGAAATGAAAGAAGAGGTGGTCCGATATTGGGACAGCATTGACCACGACTTTCTAACTTCTTTGATCAGTAGTATGCCCCGCCGCATTGAAGCCTGCATTGCTGCCCATGGTGACTTGACAAAATACTAACTGTTCACCTGTCTTCGGAATTCCGCGGATCCACGGCAAATTCTCATCCCTGAGTTTAGGGTACCGATCAAAAGGGAGTTCAAGAATCGGTTATATCTGTTATATATAACTGAAATATTGCTGATGTGAATATAAATCTCAACTCACTCACTAAACTCAGTATTATCAGCAATCTATTATATCTTCAGAGGTTTGTCTTACTTATTAGAGTCATACTCTATTTTGCATGTTTATCTTACACAGAAATGAACCTGTAAACATACTGATACCTCACATATATATATATATATATATATATTTCTGCATACTTTATTGTTCCTGTCTTTATATATATATAGCAAATCAGGATATGACAGAAGTTTTGGGCATTCAGTATAGTAAGTATGTTTAATTCAAGCTTTGATTAAGCCAAATCAAAAAAAGTTGTCTTTCCAATTACAGCTCTTTAAAATTTAGGGTAGATAGGAAGGAATATTTTTATTTTTTAATATTTTTTTTTAAAGAAGTAAAGTACAAACAAATGACACATTTATCAATGTGCAATTGTTTATTTAATCAAGCTTGTCGCCATCATGTCGACTTTCTCTATCAGAATGACCGATGTCTGTCGGTGCTGGGAAAAGACAATGGTATCTGAACACTTATTTTATTTATACCGCTTAAAAAAAAATAGGGTCGGCACCAGAATTCAAGGGCCAGTCGGGTAATCGGAACCATAACAATTTTTTTAGGCCTCATCATAATCAGTTTCAGTTCATTTTTTTCTGCATTTTCAAACATTACATGTCAAATATCTTTGATATTATTTAAAATGTCAAAAATCTTATTCAAGAAGAAATATTTGCTAGGTTGCATATGAACATGAATATCTAAAGCAATGTTGAACATTTCGAAATTTTATCTAAAAGCATTTGGCACACCTACAATCATAGACCATAGAAAGTCATTAACCATGTTTACAGCTATATCAAACTTAAACGCTCAAATTGTGAAGTATACATAAAAACATTCTGGCACATGTCCTTAACTTATCTGATCACGATTTAAGCAACATGCACCAACAGAAACTATTTGCTATCTGTTATAATGATCCACCTTAATCCCCCAAAGTCTAGTACACTTCAACTACTTGTTTTCAGAGTAGATTGTTTATCGTTGTTTCAGTTACATGTCAACTGGAAAGTTTTGTTTCATGTGTATCTCATCTCTAACTTTAAAAACTAAGAGATTGTTTGGGGAAAAAAAACCGAAAAAAACGAAGGAAAATATAAAAAATGTTTTTCACTAATTGTGTAACCTATTTTACTAAATATATATACGTAGACCACTTGGTAATTGTCTTTAAATTCATTTATGATGTTACTTTGTATCAGAAACAATTTATTATAAGAACATTCGCAACTGATTCCTGTGACTGAAAAAAACCCCAAGACTTTTTACAACGAGCTTCCTGTAAATACTATATGACTAGTATCAGTGTATGATATAAGCCCAAAACCCAGCCAGACATCAGGGCTGGGTTTAAAATGGATTTAACCAGACCAGACACCAAGATATGGTGAATTTACTCAGATGTATGGGACATCTAAAAATTTTACCAGACCATCGGGACAGCTTGCTGTACATTTTAACCGTCTGTCAGAAATCTAGCCCGTCCCGGGTGGTCGGACAGGCCTTATTCCATACACTGCTAGGATACATACATTGTAACCATAGCAACAATTTAACCAGAACAGTGAATGACTAAAACATTGTGAAAATTGTACGTGGGAAGTCCTATATATGGCATCATTTAAGATTTATTGAGAAAACTAACGAAAAGTTCGAAAATAGAATAAAAACAAATGTCCACATTCAGTAAAAAAACAATGTTAAGTGATATTCATTATTCCTATGATGTTTATGCAGGTCTACTCACAAATTACCAATGAAAAAACGCAAGCAATATACAGTCGAACCCCGTTTATCCGGACATTTTGGTTACACTCGGAAATCGTGAGGATAGCGAGGCGTCCGGTTAACTGGATCAAACAAGCAAAACCTATTGCCAATGTACAATGTATATTGAAATTTTTTTCATGTACGTACATTAATAAGTCAGTAGTCAAAACATATAATCTTAACACATAAATGGATACCAATAAACTTTCTTTCAGCACGTTGATTCACGTTATACATTTTACATTGTACATCTTACTTGACTCGATATCACATATCACATGTAGCACATTATTTCCTTAAAAAGTCTGTGATCGATGTCTGCTTCCTTGGTTTTATTTCTTCAAGTCTCTTCACTAAGGTGCAAGTCCATCAATAAATTCACTGAAGCTTCGTCGCCATTACATTCATAGAAGGTCAACAGACCGTTGGCGTGACAACTGCATGTTGTTCATCGTCATCTGACTGGTCGTCTGTCGGTGGCTGCACTATGTTGATGATTTCTTCATCAGTTAGCTCATGGCCGGTTTCCACGCCAGTATCTTAATCAACGTACTGTTCAGCAGTTGGGACTTCGTAGCCGTCACTTCGTGGTAACTGCTGCATCAAATTCTGCAACTCAGCTTAATCTTAACAGGCACAAGAAGCAATCGTCTCCTGGCGTTCTTCGTTACC